TGTTGAGATATCTTCACTCAAAATTTGAAAAAAAGTCTCAAGTATAAATTTATTTCAAACTTTGAACGACAACAACTTAGTCAAATTCAATCAACGTTTTTTATTTAAATTCTACATATCTGTAAAATTCAAACAATAAAGTTGACCTGGTAGTTGTCGAGATATCAAAAGCTTGAAAATATTTTAATCTACCGGGGTATGAAATATTATATAAATAACAATTCCCTTAGAGTATGATAATATTATTTGCGCAAATATAAATAAACAATAGTTAACACTCTGAACTTATTACTATTCTCTGCAATAAGTGCTGCTCTAATAGACAGCATAATCAATATCAATGCTGTTTCTTTTCAATAACAAATAATATCATGAGTCTACGTAGTTGGTCTATTTCTTCAGAATTAATATTTGGAATCGGCAACTTCTTCAAAATTTTGTTTTACATAAATCAATTATATGTTCGTACAAATCAGTTCTAAGTTGAAATATTTCAATTTTTTCCTATATGTTATATCCCATACTTTTCATAACCTTTAATTTCTGCAGTTATCAATTGTATTACATTAATAATTTCGTTTATTTGTGTGACTGTTAATTTCAATGCGGATAAAAATAAATTAAATAGTAATACTCAAGAACTTATTTTATATACTTAAATGTTCTTTATACTCACATTCTATATTAATGCAAACAAATGAAATTAAATATTAATATTCGTAAATTTGAATAGCTTATTTAAATACAGCACACTCTTGTTTATAGTGAACTTTCGATATTTTGAGTTACAGAATTATTGTCCGGAGCGTAGCGAAAGACTTACATTCTATGCTTTTTGATCAAAATGTCCGGATGATCCACACGTGATATATTCATTAAATTATGATTGGGTAAAACTCCGGATGTTCTTCACGTGATATATTCGTTAAACTAAACTGAAATTTTTAAAAACAATTCTGTATAATTTGCTCCGGACATTAACAGCCTCTGTTAACCTAGTTAAATTTCACCTCAATATAGTGAAGTACATATAGTAAGCTATAATGGGGATTTTCTTCTCGGCCCGATTACTTCTCTATAATGAGAGTGAGTTGTACTTACATTAATCAAGGTTCTTATCCCTTAAACCATTTTGCAGGCAAATTTGCCTGCAAAATTTTGATCAAAATTATTTTAACTAGTACGTAAAACTTACATAAATCATAATATAAGCCCAAGTAACATTATTACTAGCCAGACTATTTGCATGGAGCTTTTAACAATACCACTTTTACTATTTTTAACCGCACCTTATATTTCTTTTTCTTTTTCTTTTAGCTTGGTGAAATAACCCCTTTAAAAGTCACGGATATACATCACCTAATCAAATCACAAGCTGTTACAGGGAGTGATAATTATATCTGTTGTGATATCTATTTAAATTTTCAATATCAAATAAATTCTATACAGCACATCCGTAAATATGTGCGATTATTGAATAAATTTTTACAGGCAAATTGCCTGCAAAAAATTTTATGATTTTACTGTCTAAATTAATGTAATAAAATGATTTTGATGAACTATTGCAAACAAAATGATCAGAATATAATTAATTATTATCTTTGTTCCCTAAAGATTAAATAATTTTTAAGAAATTCAAGAAATTCAGATGTGTAATGAAAATTAATAAATAAACTGTTAATCCAATAATATTGCTTGTGTCAATTTTTTGCACCAACGCGAGATCATGTGACCAAGAGGTGTAGGCAATTGGTAGAGATGAAAAACAGCTCTACCGGCTTGTATATTAATTTTAATGAAAACAAAGTTAATCATAGAGCTGATGACCCATTTGCACCTCTAATAATAAGGCAGACGAATTATCTCAATGAGTTATAATGGCATTCGGAAAGATACCAATAGGTTACGACGACATTCAGTAAGATCCCAATTGCTACAGTATACTACAATTAACACTATTAAAACGAAACAATTTTTTCGAAACTTCCTAATGATGATGAATTCATTCAAGAATATTGGCTCCTAGAAAAACTCACCTAACCCGAATTCTTTACTTCTTGAATAGCTTTCTACTGACAATTGCTGATTTAATTACGTATCATATGTCTATGATTAGATTTGCTTAAGAATTGAGCCCGATAAGCTGTAGTATAAATTTCGAATCCTGCGATTTGGCTTTTTTAGCAACACTCATCAGATTCACCAGTTACAAGAACACAACACGTAAATTAAGTTACGATTATATAATTACGCCGTAACTGTAATGGTGAATATCTGATATACACAATGATACGATTTGCAATATTTTAAAACGGCAAGCTACAACTAGTTGTAACAAAGTTTCTACGGTATGTCACAATGCATTTTTTATTTCTAATCAGAAAATAATGCTAAAAATAATGCGGGCGTGGGAACAATGTTGGTAGCATATCAGCATATGCCTGGCGTAAAGAATCAATGCTGGAATATGCTAGAATGAAAACAATTAAATCAAGTTTGCTAGTGCCTGAAAAAAATTCTCAGGACTTACTCCAGCTGGAAAACATGTGATCCTTTCATTTACAGTCGGCAGGCATTTACGGCGACTCCCAGCATAATTACGATTGCTTCACGTTTCTACCGTATCGGCACCTCAGTCAATTACTCGCTTTTCATCGTGTATTCTGCTAACTTTGAGTTCAACAATAAAAATCATTCCTATCCTAAATCATCTGCCGGCATAATCCCAAAATAAATACAATGTCGTGTAACGCGACGCTTTTCGTTCCATAGTACTGTAATAGCAAATGGAATATTCACATAGAAAAACATGTTTCAACTTACATAACTAAGTTATTTATCTACTTCCACTAATACAACTTGAATACCCGATCCACCCGCGAGCAACCAGTTACGTATATCTTTATTTCATGATTGCACTTTCTAAAAAAGGGACAATCATTTGACGTGATGATTATTGACGTTTAAACTTCATATTTTCATGATTTGATTTTGATTAGATAATCATCTCCGCTTAAACGTACGTATGTTTTGGAAATCGTAGATCGGGTACACCAGGGTAATCAAAATAAAACAAGTACTTGTATAAAGGCTAACACCGAATAAACATTTATTTGTAATATTCTGACTGTTTTTTTAAATCATTATGTATTAAGACAAAATTTGTAACTTAAAAACCGACCAGTTACTTTTTTAAAATTTGTCAGAAAAGAATATTACCAAATACGGATGAAGAATAAAGTACAGAATTTTCTGCAACTTGATCATTGCATGCTACTTGCCGATCAAATTCCAAAAAAACTACGTCCCAAATAAGCGTATATACATACATACGTACGTACGTAGGTGGGCGTTATTACATGCAGTATACAGGGTATATTATTTAATCAGGTATGGCAAGATCAATGTGGCTAGAAGAAACTTCAATAACTTGTTAATCTGGTTATATTGTTAATAGCATATGATTTTAGTTTCAAATATTACAAATCGAAAAAAAATTCAAATTGCGTAACAAACACTAAATAAGTTTTAGTGAATAGTATAGTATTTGGAAACAAAGTGGTTTGTATAGCTTTCGAATTAAGAAAGTGATTCTTCTTGGTTTCATTATTCACATTTGTCAAACCCAATTAGTTTGTTTATTTTAATTCCAATCCGAATCATTCGGTTACACTAGTCTTTTCTGGAAAATTTTCTAAAAGGTCAACTAATTGATTTGTCAAAGCAAGCAGATGTAAGACATAATCTGATAAATTGTGAATTACATCAACCCAAAAAATTTTCAAAAGGAAACTTGATACGAGAAATAGGGCTAAATTTAGCGGATGGAATTACTTATACTTGAAATCGATCCAATTAGACATAGTTTCTAAATGGTTGATCTATAAATATCCGATAAAATGACGCAAAGTTATTGAAAAATAGATTTTAATCAATATTTATATGGATGTTTACACGATTATTTTTAGATGTGTTCTAAAATTCTAATAATCTTTTCAAATCAGAAAAAAAATTCTCATATCGTGTGTGTGAAATGCCTTTTCTCATTAATATGTTTGCAAAAAGTTTTTTTAGTTATCGTAATAATCGGAATAATTATTATTTATTGTTTTTATGTGTATACACGTTGTGCAGAATATCATGTTAATTAGCAGGATACAGGGCGCTAATACATGCAGAATTGTCACCAAATTTTTGTATGTACTCACAGTACGTACGTACGTACGCACACGCGTACGTGCCAGATACGAGGCAATTCGATAGGCCAAAGATCATGAGGTCTAAAATGTTTGTTTTTAATTTTCAATAATAAATATAATTTTAAGCCATATTCGCTTTAAATTTTTTATCAAGTTATAACTATTTAATTATGAAACTCGGAAATCTGCTTTTTTTTTTACTTTTCTGCTTAAAAAACTCTGGATTGTAGAGTTTGCTTAGACACGTGAGTAAATGGTACGTACATACGTAGTTGTAATTTATAATGCATTGCAAATTTTTACAAATTCAAATTAAATGCTAGATTATCGCGCCATAATAACAAATATGTCCTCATTACAGATACTTAAACCTAATTTTTCGTGAATGATCTACTCGAGTCTATACCAAATTACTTGGTATGTTAACTGCGCGTGTTCTAACAGTATATGTAAAATGTATAACTCTTTATTCGTAATCTTTTGTAGAATTCTTGGCGACGTCTTCATGAGAAAATGGGAAAACTTTGAAAACGCCAAATCTTAATATGAGGATTTAGGGTTAGAATAATCATTTTCAAATCTGTTCTTTACAAATTCGAAGTAATATATTCATATTTTGAATACAGTAGAATCCTTATATAAATAGCCTTTGGAAATTCCTTCATCCCACACGAATTTTTCGTTTATTAAATTAAACGATAAAGTCAAATTAAACAAATAAACGATTAAAAAATCAACTTTTCGTCTACGATCAAAATTTTCCATATTTTAAAAAAAAACTTTATATCAATTTTATCAACCATGAAGTTCAATCTTGCTGCCACATATTTGATTTTTTTCTTTGCCGTTACTGCATTGGCGGCTCCTCTAAAAGGTATTGATTTATATATAACAATATTTAATTATATTTATTATGGTCGTATATCTTCATCTCACTTATCATTGCTATTATGTTTGAAAAGACACCACAAATGACCTAGGTAATATATATTATATAGCTATTTATATTTTTATGTTGGAAAGTTATTTATTAATGTGCTAATTATTTTTTTGATAAATCCAGTCTCTGAACATAAGCGTGGTGGTGGTAATGGAGGCCACGACGGTAATGGTGGAAGCCGCGACGGAGGCAACCATAAACGTGGTGGTGGTAGTAGTGGAGGCCACGACGGTAATGGTGGAAGCCGCGACGGAGGCAACCATAAACGTGGTGGTGGTAGTAGTGGAGGCCACG